TATATATATATGTGTGTGTGTGTGTATTTATAAACATATGCATAAATATGTATATTTGTGTGTGTGTGTGTATGTATGTATGTATATACGTATATATACATATTTATATACTTATATGTATACATATGTATATATACATTTAGATAGATTCATACACATATATGTAAATAAATATTTATGTATATATATATATTTATTTATTTATTTATTTATTATCTATTTATATACATGCATATATATAATACATATATATTATATATATATATATATATATTATATATATATATATATATATATAATTATATATATTATATATATATATATATTATATATGTGTGTGCGTGTGTGTGTGTGTGTGTGTGAAATTATATAAAGAAATATATGTGTATTTAGCTTATATTTCACTGTGACGCACGTGACCTTTATTCCCGCAGACTGCACGGTGTCGCCAGCTTCGTCTCGGATCTCCTGCGGCACAAGAGACATGTGACGAGGTTTCCAACACATCGCTTGAAAAAGATAAAACATACACACATATCGAGTGTCATGCAAAACAAGTAGGCGTGTCGCCTTTTGTTCTTGCGGTTCCATAAAAAGTTATACCGCACGGTATTATACATCCTGTGTAGGGCTTGACACCGCGCCACTAAATGCAGTTTTAATTTTCAAGCTCTGCCAGTGTGTTTCTCTACTTTTATTTCGCTTTCTATCTCTACCTGTCAGTTTCAGAGTCTGTCTCTGTTATATTTCCCTTTCCCTTTTTTCCTGTCTTTCTCTCTCTCTCTCTCTCTCTCTCTCTCTCTCTCTCTCTCTCTCTCTCTCTCTCTCTCTCTCTCTCTCTCTCTCTCTCTCTCTCTCTCTCTCTCTCTCTCTTCTCCTTTCTCATACTCCTTCTCATCCCCTCTCTTCTCTCTTCCCTCCTCCTCCTCGCCCACTCTCTCCTCTCATTCTCTCTCCTTCTCTCTCTCTCTCTCTTCCTTTCTCCCTTTCCTTCTCCCTCTCTCCGTTCAGTTCCCCTTCCCTCCCTCTCTTCCTCTCTCTGCTCCTCTCCACCTCAAATTCCCAGCCAGTCTGCCTCTTCTTTGAAACGAAAACCCACAGCAAACATACCTGGAGCTTCTAAGCTGATAGTGAAACCGCCGCTTTCCGTTGCACTAACAAACTGGTCTATTTGTTATGAAGGTTTTCATTCCTTGTGTCAGCAGGCTATTTGTTTCCTCCTTTCTCTCCTCCTATCTTTTACTTCCTTCGCTTGTGTTTCTGACTCTTTTATTTATTTGACTCTATTGGTCACTGCTTGTTTTGTTTTTCATGTTTGTGTTTTTGTATGATTGTCTGCCTATCTGCCTTAGTCTCTGTCTCTGCATCTCTCTCTCTTTCTGTAATATATAATGTTTATGTTATATAAAAAAAATAATAATGATCATAAGGCAAGGTAGATAGCAAAGGGAACCGAAATTAAAGATAAAACAAACTGAAAACCTGGTTGATATCATCATTATTATTGTAATTATTAGTATTATCATAATAACAACAATAATTCTAATTCTAATAATAATAATGTTACTACTACTATTACAACCAGTAATGATAATGATGATAAGAAAAAATTATTGATAATAAAAAATGATGATAATTATTAATGATAATAATGATAATATTAGTGATTATAATAATAATGACAATGATAAAAATTGTAATAATGATAGTGATAATGAGAATGATTATAAATATTAACAATATTGATAATAATGGGAATGTTAGTAATGATAAAAATTACGAAACAACGAAAATGATGATAATGATACTAACTAATAGTAGTGAACAATAGTGCTGATAATGAATATATAATATGATAATAATAGATAACAATGATAATGAGAATAACAATAATGATGAAAATAGTAATAGTGATAATATTCCACCAAGGTGTCCCCATGTCTCGGGAATCATGAAAAATTACTAGAAACAGAAATAATAATTTTCGACAAAACAGAAGACCATTTCTTTCTTTCTGTTTTATTTCTTTGACATTTCGTCGTCTAAGAGAAAACCTCAATTTAGGAACTTGGGAAGGTGACTTAAAAGTTTGCTTGGGTATTCTTGCTCGCAATTCAGTTAGAATGGTCGAGAAAACATTTTTTTTTTTTTTTTTTTTTCGCTTTTCTTTTGTTTCATTATGGAGCAGGTGTTGGATGTATGGAATACAAGAGTACATTCAGAATAGGTTATTGTACTATGCATTAGCGGTGACACACCAGAGTTTAGCTTGTAACCTAAATAAGTGAGGAAAGAAAACAGAAACAATTGAGGAAGAATGTAGTTTTTTTAGGGTTTATGGATGCGTGTGTGTGTGTTTTTACGCGCACGTGTGCGTGTGTGTGTTTGCGCGCGCATGTGTGTGCGTGTGTGTTTGCGCGCGCACGTGTGTGTGTGTGTGTTTGCGCGCGCACGTGTGTGTGTGTGTGTGTTTGCGCGCGCACGTGTGTGTGTGTTTGCG